CTATCACAGGGCTACACTTAGAGACAGACAACCAAGCACACTCACATTCACACCTACGGACAATTTAGAATCACCAATTAACCTCAACATGTTTTCGGACTGTGGGAGGAAGACGAAGAAGCATTGTTAAAATAAGCTTGAAAATCTATACCTGGGCGGCTCTGCTCAGGCTGCTGCCTCCGCAACCCGACCCCGGATAAGCGGGAGAAGATGGATGGATGGAAATCTATATCTGTACCGCGACTATATTGTCAATAAATGTAATATCAAATAAAAATAAAAAAAATATCTGAGAAGTGTTCACAAGTACAGTATGTATGTATATGTACTTAGTTTTCATTAGTGGTTAATATATTTTACTCTGAGCCAAAGGGCCAACAGTCAGACTAAAATCAAACCTTACACCTACACATGACCCAGTGCAGGGTAGAGGGGCCCCATTACATTTTCACCCTTGCCCCATATGGTGAACTGCACTTCTGCCTTCATGTTCTGCATCCCCATTAGAAGCTAACTAACATTTTTAATGCAAGTAAAAGTGACAAATCTGTTTTTCTGTCTTGAGAGAGATGCAAAGGAACTGTATCTCCTTCTGGAAAGTAAATATGTGAGGATCTTGGTTTGGAACGACTGGTTACAGAATGCCAACCTTCACTTTCACTTACTTGGGTTCAGTTCTGAACTGGTGTTGTGAGGTTTTTAAACTTTGACAGCAATTTTCATTATAATAATTGTGCATAAAGACATTGGCAGTTGAAACAGATTGCAAATTTTAAGTATAACAGTTCTTTTTTGCAATCTGATTTTTAAAAGGGAATGTATGACATGTGGCATTTTCCTGCACATCTTCAGATTTTCCTATTTCTGTTTGCAACTTGAATTACTAGTGCTTTGTTTTTCTCTAAAACTAAATTATGTGTTATACTAACATGTTGATTTGGTTTGAAATTAATTTCAGGCAAAGCTTTCTTCACATAATGGATGTTTTGCCTAACGTCAGTCAGTGTTATTCACAAAATGTAGCCGCAAGCTAACATGAGAAAACATGATTTACTTTTCAATATTCTGCCGTGATGGAGAAACCTTGTTTTCACAACATACTATTTGCATTTTTTCATTCACTCTCAGAGATAAACGTGTGACCTCCATCATTATCCCTATCAGTCGTGGTAGAGAATCTGTGGTTTCCCACCAGTTTCAAGCACAGCATTCAGATTGGTACGGGTAAGAGTATATGACCTACTAATGCTCCATCTTACATAAGTGTTCCTGATAGAAGTTGCGACACAGCAGCCATGCAAAAAAATATTGATTTTTAGTCAGGTGGTTCCATGAGTTGTTTTTTTGGTTACGACGAAGGTCAGATGTTCCAGTGTCACTTGCAGTGCTCAAACCCACAGCAAAAGACATAACCTATTCTATTCAATGGAGATGTTAATCTGTGAGGACAAAAACTTTACAAGTGATTAATGGTCACAGGTCAGGGATGTGCTGAGCTCAGACTTTCTGCTTAATTTGACCCCACTTTGTCCATGAAGCAGTTTAACAAAAAAAAAAAAAAAAGTCTAAAGGATCGTATGAAGGACAATAAAGATTTAACCAACTCACTTGCAAACTGATTCTCAGCATCCAGTGATATAGATTCTAAATTTATTCTTGAAATATCCGCACGTGTCTCTTCAAACACGTGCGGTAAAAGCAAAGCAGTTGAAACAACTTTGTTCAGGAAGGGGAGGAACAGAAAATGGTCAAATACTTTGAAAAAAGTCAAGGTTGAAACGAGATACAATCTTTGACCGCTGATGCTGATGGCAAATGTTTACTACGCCCACATGCCTCTCAGACCTTTGCAACCTCTCTTTTTCTGCACTATATAAACATCATACAGCTAACAGGCACCTGCATGACCAAAGAAAATTCAACTTTTGTATGGTGCTTTACCTGAGTAGGTGTTAATAAAATAGCTGCTGTAGCTCCACGATGCGCCTACTCAGAATTAGAGCTACATTTCAGCTCTGCTGCAGCTCGGTGCCATGTGCTTGTGTTCCTCGTGCAAGTTTACAGTTACAGTGATGATTTGAAATTTAAAAACTCTAGCCCTAAAGGAAGGCACCAGCAAACAGCAGGTTTCAGGTAACTATACTGTAGCTCCATTGCTCCACTGCGATCTAAGCAAGGTGTCAGTGCATTTACTGATCAGCTATGAGCGGGAGCCTGATTAGCCAATAGCCGGTTGTAAAATAACCAGTGTGTTTGAATAGGCTTCTAAATACTCAGTTTGATAATTTTCCATCATCCTGTACCTTTTACATTATGACTATTGTGTTACTGCATTTTGTAAATGCCCATTTTCTTTCACAGCAATTCAGCTTTGTTCTTGATTAAAGTAAATTCAGTGCCATGAGTGGATCAAGTGACTTCCAGCCTTCCCTATTGATCCCAAAAAAGAGAATATGACTGCAGGGCTGATTATCTGCCCACTGATAAGCTCCATTGTGCAAGTCTGTGCAGTAGCTGATTGGTTGGTTAATAGATGAGATGTGGCATTCCCAGATACGACGCGTGTTTAAAGAGGGGGCCAGAAGGTCAATGGTTATATTTACCTGAGTTGACAGGAGGGGCAGTGATTTTGTGAGTGGATGAGTGTGTGCATGTGAGTAAGAGACAGTGAGTGTGTATACAGTAAACAGTAGCAGAGTATAAAAGGTCACCGTATCCTTCTGCGCGCATCTCTCTGACCAGCCTGAGTGTGTGACAGTGTGTTTGAGAGAGAAGGGCCTTTACCATGAAGACCTGGGTGCTGTTGTCGCTGTTGCTAGGAGTGGGGTGCATCCGCGGTGCACCGGTGGAGCAGGATGGCTTGGAGCAGGGGTCATGTGAAGACGCATCAGCGAAGGGCGCTGCTGATTTGGCTCTAAACAAGATCAACCATAACCGGCAGGAGGGCTACGTCTTCGGCCTGCACCGCCTGTCCAACGTCCACATGGCAACACATGTAAGTCACACCACTGAGCCCCGATCATGATGATGTAGTATGTTCTCTTATTGGGTAAACTAAAGCTATTTAATGTGGAATTCCTTTCTAGTATAGCACCAGATCTCGCTGTCCACATCTCCAATTTATTCAGTAATTCAAACAGAATGAAGAATAAGTAATTGAAGCGCCAAAAAAAGTAGACAAAATTCAGAAATTTAAACTGCATTGGCCAAAAATGGCAAAACAGCACCATCAAAAGAATGGTGTCTGCAATTAAATGCCCAGTTTAAGGCATTTGCTTGTCAATCATTCATGAGACATTGATACTGATACTGTACACCATACAAAATGTCTATTATATTTGTGTATTTCAATGGACAGTTGGGTAATAATGTTAGCATAATGTTCAATTAGGAAATGTTAAAATCCTGTCTCATGTGACGTCCTGTGTTTACTTATACACATATTACATTTCCACAATCAAGCAAACAAATGTGTTTGAAGGCGCCAACCATCAAAAAATACTCAGGTTGGAGGGATAGTGGTGGATTTTCAAGCAGTGTATAGTCGCTGCATGAAGTCACCTGAGGCAGTCAAGATTAAATGACAAAAGTTCTTTATCTCTTGACCACCCACAAATGTTCAGTTCTAATGAATACACAATGTTTGCAGTCTGTAAACACTAACGTTACTGAACGTGTTCTAAAATTTGGAACTGCAACTGTACCAGATATGTAGAACAACCCTTCTACATTTTTTTTAAATTTATTTTTTTATCAAAGTAGATGACACTAACTGAATGTGCCATGTTTGGCACAAAATGTAGTTGGGCTGTGTTATGCAGATATAGTTACAGATACAGATAGAGCCAAGGTGAAAAGGGTCTTCAGTCTCCTGGACAGATCATCCCTAAATCTGATCACCTGCCGTCAGTAATAACAGACTCAGGTCATAAGAACTGGTGTATTTCAGTCAGACATCAGGCATTTGTACCGAGTTGTGTGATAGAAGATAGACCTGATTTAATTTTCTTAAATATCAGGAGATAGCAAGAATTACTGGAAGGGTAGTTATCACGATAACATCAGTACCTGATGGGAGAAACTTATTCATGCTTTATTTATCATCAGTCATTTAAACACTTGTGCAATGGCACATTTTCCTGCCTAGTGGAAGATAACTTCCATTAGGATGTAATTATTCCTCAATAAGCACATCATATGAGTACTTTCTGTGTGTGTGTCACAGGGAGAGACCGGCGTGGTTTTCTACCTGACTCTGGACGTTGTGGAGACCAACTGCAGTGTTCTCAGCAAGAAGGACTGGAAGGAGTGTGAAGTTCGTCCCACCGAAAGCACACCGGTTAGAACACACATACACACTTCTGGATGTCCACATTCATGCACATAGTGCATCTGCTACTATTGCAGCCTTTTTCCCGAACAAGAAACAAGTTTTGTTCTGTTGCTTTACAACCTGAAGGCTTAAGGTTTCTTTTCATTACTGACTGCATGCCTCTTTCAAATCACCATGACTGGCTGTATGAACATAACAAGCATTACACCACCGTGTTCCATAAAGAGTAGTTCATAAGCTAGCAGAAGAAGAAATCAGACATTTAGGCTCATAAAACACTGTCAAGGTTGATCATGTTAAATCAAAATCCTAATAAAAGTCTTTGTATGTGCAGCACACTGAATATTGTATGTATTTGTCTTTGCAGGTATACGGACAGTGCAAAGCTTCCATCTACATCAATAAGGTGAAGAGAGTGGTCCGTCTCTACAAATACAACTGTGCGGTCAGACCAGGTATAAAAAATACTCCTTTTTTTTTCCTTTGAATCCAACTGAACCATCTAAAACTTACAGCTTACAGTGGATATATTTAAAGCACCTCCACACATTTTTTCTTACTTGTGTGCTTGGAGTTCATCCAAGCCCACATTTTCTGAGACTCAAATTTGGTGGACTGAGAGGTTTTGTGCAAACCAATCTTGAGGTGTATGCGCATCCAAAACTAAAACTTCTCTTTATTCTCAGCTCCAGCAGCTAAGGTGGCTGAGGTGTGTCCCGACTGTCCAACTCTTACTGACAGTGACAACGCTGAGGTTCAGAAGGCTGTGAAACTCTCTCTGGAGAAATTCAACAAGGAGAGCAAACTGGTCAATCGTTTCGCTTTGCTCAAAATCACCCGTGCTACCTCCGGGGTAAGTTTTCCACAAGTCCAAAAAAAAAAACCCTAGCTATCACATGACACATTGTATTCTCCCATCTTACACTGTATGTATTCTGAACACAGGAGCAAGGGAGAGAATATAATGATTTTATTCCATTTAATTCCAAAATTTGACCAGTATATTCTATAAAATTGGCATCAAATCACACAGAAGCCGCACTAAGATAAACTTCTTCTCTCCCCTCCCTTCTTCCCCTCATGACCTTCTCCTTTGAGTTTCTTCAATGTGCAGCACTTCTGCTCCCATGCCTACTGCTCACTAGCTACTTGACTACTGCCTGACCAAACATTTCATATTGCTATGCTCATTCTTTTGTTAAAGTTTTCTCTTTTTTTCTGTGTTTGTGTGTATCTAGATGGCCATGAGTATGTATTACAATGCAGAGTACACCATCCAGGAGACCAGCTGTACCCAGAGCACAGATCCAGCTGCTACGTGCCCCCTCATGGAGTGCGAGTTCGCTGTGAGTCATGACAGATTGCAATTTCCCATTATTTTATCACACTTCATCTTGATCAAATGGATCATCTATTTCAACTAGAGTAGGATTTGCTATGCATTCTGAAAAGAAAGATAGTAATTCCTAACATTGATTAGTGCTTTGGTTCATCAGTTAAACACTGCATTACTTCTCTAGATTGTTTCTCTGTAGTCATTTGTTCCATACTGACTGTATTTGGTATAAATTCTAACCAAACTTTTTGAGAGAACCAATCAAATTAAGGACTATGCTGGCATTAAAAAGAGCAATAAATCAAGGAATTATTTAAGTTTTTAATGTTGCAAACAAAAACCTCCTGAAGCATCCTCCCTTTTCTGTCCACAGTGAACAAGTTTATAATAGCAAAGGATTACTTTGAAATTCAGTTTGTTTAACAATTAAACTTATGCCAAAGGCAATTCCCTTCATCCACGCGCTCCTCTCTCACTTGTTTTTCTTGTTCTTTTATCCTCAGCACAAGGGCTTCTGTAAGGGATCCCTGTTCTACTCTCCCTCTGGTGAGCCGGACACCAGTGTAGAGTGTGAAATCTACGAGCCTGAGGTGAGACTCATTAAAACATGATGTCTGTATTTTCTTAATGTCTTTCTGCAGTGTGATGAAAACCCATAAATGAACTACACTGTAATAACAGCTTGGGTTTTTGTTTTTAAACTGTTTTAAAGATTTTCCCAGTTTTGTAAATTACAGATAATAACAAATAAAATGACAGAGAAAAGTATTCATTTACACATTAACCAAAAAACAAAACAAAACTGCAAAGAATGTCCACATCAAAAATCTGTTTTTACAAATGATCATTTGTTCATTCACATTTATTATTTAAATTACACAATTTTTATTGTATTTATATATTGTTATTTTTGTTTGGATGTGTCATTAGTTGTTCGTAGTTTTTGAAGTATTTTCTATGGCACCCGCACTGCCAGATTTTTACTGGGTTTTTTTGTTTTGTTTTTGTGTGGTGTGTGTGTGTTTTGGTTTTTTTTTTGGATAAAAATTGTTTAAAATCTAAATATCATTAAATGTCATTCTTTCAACGGTGTGGATTTGGAACTTTGACTTAAGTGGCCAGCTCACAGTCTGCCCAGCTTATGCATTTGTCTAAAGCTGCTAACTCTGAAATGTCTCAATCACAAGCAAATCATACTAAATGCTGTGCAGTTGACTGTAATAGCGAACACATTGGCCTTCATGAACTCCCACTCCTGTCTGAGGAACCTTCTTTGCAGTTTTTTGACCTGAAAAAAGAAAAAGACACATTGTGGGACGCATGAGAATAAATCAGCAAATCTACTCGCTGTGCATGTCTGCGTACTGAAATAGAGTCTGATGCCCTAGCTCTATAAATGGAAAGCAGTGCAGCTCAGTCCAACACACACAGCACTACTTCAGACAGAAAGGGGGCAGGACGAGCAAAAAGGATGATACATCTGGAAAATGCTAACTATCTAAATAGGCTAACTAGCTAAATATCAACAATATTTCTCTAGAATTACAGGTAGCTTATACAGTCAGTGTAATCTTTTTGGTTTATGACTATGACTATAGTAAAGGTTAAACACAATTCTCCCCACCAATTCACCAAAGCTGTGATGTATGATCCATCACATCCTAATTTATCATCTTTATGTGTTCTCCAGGCTGCTGAGAGAGAGAAGAAACTGCACCTACTGGACACCGACCACAGCCACAATGACACACATGCACACGACCCAGCCCATGATAAAGCCCACGCCGCAGACCAGACACACTCACACGACCACGTGCACGACCACACCAAGAGCCACTCTCATCATGACCAAACCCACAAGCACGCTGATGGCAGCGACCACCACCACACACATGACCACGGTGCAGGCAGCTCCCACCGGCATGCTCACGACCACTCCCACGACCACGGGCACGGCCATGACCACGTGCACATGCATCACGCCAAGGCACACGACCACAGTGGCGACTCTCCTAACCATCACCACAAATACCAGCATGCCGATGGCGTGCACACCCATGAGCACGACCACGAACTCGCTCTGGACCATGACCACAAGCACGCTCACCTGCATCCGCATGAGCACCACCATCATCACCACGACCACGACCACGAGACCACAGTTCACGATGAACCAGAGGGCATGGTGAGGATGCTGCCCTCCATGGACAAGCCCGTGACCCTGCCTTCCTTCCCTGACGTTCCTGCTGGTGGTCCAGTGGTTGGAGTCACTCTGCCCCTTAAGCCCGACCCCCAGATTCCTGACATGATGGAACCCACCATAAAGACCTTCCCAACCGCAGTCTCAGCCCAGTGTACCCCCGCAGCGCCAGGAGAGAAGCTGGTTGAGAAGCTCTTTGCTGAAGACCCCATGTTCAAGCCAGCTGCATAAAGTGGCCTATTGAGCTTAACTGGGAACTGATGTTAAAAATACACACAACGACACAGACTCTGTGAAGCAAAGACAGTAAAGTAATTTAACATTTGATACATTTGTATTTAACACATCAGTGCAACAAACCACAACTGTTTTCTTGTGCTGAGTTTGGCCAAAATCATGATCTTTTGTAAGCACATAACATGTGATCTTTTGTGTCTCTCTTCAACCATTTAATAAACACTTAGAACATAAAACAGTACATTACCATAAACATCAGCCTTTCTCTCTCTTTGTACCGAATTCATTATTAATAAAATAACCAACAAGCTGGTCATTTTCTCATTGACAATCCTTCCCACTGACCACAACAAGCTCACATTCACATGGACAAACCATTTTCAGCAGTGTACATGAAGATTTACTGTAAAATGCAGCCAGCAAACAACAAGTTTTCTGTATTTGTATATTATCTGTTCTTGGCTGCACAGAAAAAACAATTACAACACAAATACTGGTGCAGTGTATTTGTGTTGATCAAGACCAAAGTGATTCATTTTGTGATGATTCAGTGCACTTGTCCACGACTCCAACCAACAACTCCCCCTGTGACTACTGTCACTGCTGCCAAACAAGAACACCATGAAACTGATCATCAGATAATTGTCTGTTTTTTGAATCTGTTCACACTAATTAAAGAACACCAAAATAAACTATCAAAATGGCTGTTTGAAATTGTTTTTAAACATATCTCTGGCTACAAACTGCATATGAAACAGTTAAAAGTAACCTAATTCGTGTTTGTGCACTTTCCAGTCTGAGCCTGTTCATTGCCCTTTTTTTCTTTTTGCCTCTGTGTAAAGAAGAGACGAGATTGACAGAGCAGAAGCATCTAACTCACAAGAACATGAAGAACTAGAGAAAGCACGTGGACTGTGCAGACCTCCACAAGCTCCTCTAAGTTTATTATTTATCATCCTGATCCAGAGCTCAGTCACATTGTAAAACACAAACCTGCTGATTTTGTCATATTGATGCAGCACCACCTAGTGCTGTAATATGGATTCGACATGTGATTGAAGTAAATCTGGTTGCAGAGGAATCACATGTTTAGGAATTCTTTCTGTTTATATGAAAGAGGTCAATAAACCCTGTGAAAATTGTGAGCAATATTTTGTAATAAATGAAGGAGTCACTAGAATATGCTACAGGTTCGTTGCCAACTAGGTGCAACTTGATAAAGGCAGCCCTGTTCAAACATAACCCTAGAGGCAGAACTAATGTTTTTGTGGAGTTTACACATCAGAAACACTCAGCCAGTCTGTGCACATCATCTTGTATCAGCTTTACACACTCAGAAAAAAGCTTTTATCTTTGTTCGAGCAGTGGTCACATGTCTTGAGTTGTTAGCAGCTCCTCCAGATAGGGATTTTGCCCTGTGAACTGCTCATGTTTACATTTCAATAAACGTTCTTATTTCACCAAAAATCAAAGATTGCAAAAGTCCAAAAGCTGTCTCAGAAATGTTGTTTCTTCTTTACTCTCCCTTAATCATTCCCTGGACATAAAACTATATATATATATATGTGTGTGTATATATATATAGTCATTTTGCTGTACATACAACAGTAGTACAAACAAGACGAGTGAGCGTTTCTTCAGGATCCAAATACTAAATGCAATTAAATGAAGTGTTTGCATCTAGATCAGCAGTTCAGCATTCTGAGAGCTTGTGGAATGAAGCTGTTGATCAGTCTGGAGGTTCTTTCTTTAATGCTCTGGAAAAGTTCAAACAGTTTATGGAGAGGGTATGAGGAGTCCCTGACAATGTTCAGTGTCCTGCTTCTGCAGCGGCTCTGGAAAAGTTCAGAGCAAGCTGCCTGTCTGTCCGCCCAGAACGATGTCATCCCATCCAGCTGTATATCCATCTGGGATCAATCAATCAATCAATCAATCCATCAATCAATCAATCAAACTTTATTTATAAAGCACTTTTCATATATGACATGCATCACAAAGTGCTGTACATTACAGAACACAATCAGGAGGGATCAGGGGATACAAAATAAAATACAAAACCCCA